CATTGGTAAGTTTTCACAATTCCACAATCTGCAAATATGTATTCATAGCCATTCTTTGCTTTACAAATAGATTGTTTTGAATTATTATTGCTTTAATATCAGAAATCTTTGCCTGGCATTTTGTATGTCACTTTTCATATCTAAGGATGATAGCTGTAGGATAGAATATACAGTCAGATGCCATATATCTTTTAAAAATCCACACATGTTCACTGAAAGATGACTTCTTAGTGGTGGTAAGTACCAGGACAGAGTGAGATCATAGAGTATTTTTTACCTGTAGAGTTGTATATTCTGCATTATTTGAAATTTTACAATAAGCATAGATTGCTTTGTAATAAAAAAGATATATTAATATTCAGAACTGAAGTTGATGACATTGACAAGAAAAAATAGTAATTCAAAGTACATGAGAGCAGTCTGGTGACAGAGTCATCCATCACTGATGATTCCTGCTTGTGTGTGTGTGTGTGTGTGTGTGTGTGTGTGTGTGTGTGTGTGTGTGCTGCAGCATTGTCTGAATGGGAAAGGATCTGCTACCCCTTGAAAGTCCATCACCAGCAAGAGAAAGGGTGACTGTGGGGTGCTTACATAGATGAGGAAAATCTTGTAGAAGATGCTTGATGGAGTTGGGCATGGTGGGGCATGCCCATGGGACCCAGGAAACAGATTGAGTTCACCATGGTCTACATAGCAAGTTCCAGGCCAGCAAGGGCTACATAGTGAAATTCCAGCTCACCCACAACACCCAGGAAAGATGGAAGATAGCCATGCAGCTGGAGTCTGTGCTTTGTGCCGCGGTTAAGAACGTCATGGTCAGGAATAATCTGTGCATGAGGCCCTGGGTCCACTCCCTAGGATGACCAGAAAAAGAAGGTTATGTTTAGGTTCACAAATCATGACTGCTGGTCAAAATAGGAAGAGGAACTGCTGAAGTATGTTTTACTCTTGGAAGTGGCGTTCTCACACTGGAGTGCTCATTGTGCCCCTCCCCTGAGTAAGCAGGTCTTCTGAGACCATTCACAGTCAAAGGCAAGGTTTGCTTTTCTTTCTGGATGAATGCTTTAATAAATATTCAATAAAAATGAGTTACTGGCCGGGCGGTGGTGTCGCACGCCTTTAATCCCAGCACTCGGGAGGCAGAGCCAGGCGGATCTTTGTGAGTTCGAGGCCAGCCTGGGCTACCAAGTGAGTTCCAGGAAAGGCGCAAAGCTACACAGAGAAACCCTGTCTCGAAAAACCAAAAAAAAAAAAAAAAAATGAGTTACTGGAAAATGAAATGAAGACAAAATCAAAACCCCAAACTACAAGAGCCTGGAGATAGTAGTATATGACCAACATTTGGGGGAGGGGGAGAAGCAGAGGCAGGAGGATCTCGGTAAGTTCAATGCCAGATAGGGCTATGTATCAAGACCCTGTCTCAAAACTCTACCTCCCCCAATAAAAACCTGACCAAATCAACAAAGCACTTTGGAGGTGGAGGCAGGAGGATCATACAAAGTAGTTTGAAACTGGGAGGAGAAATATGCTCTTGCTTGTCCTCGCTGGAGAGAGAGATGCTGCCAGCTTCTAGTGCTTATGGTGTATCTCAGTGTTTGTGATGCTCCTTTGGCAGAAGGGAAGATTTTCGGACCCTTGTCCACAGATTGCACTTTGGGAAGACTGAGCTAAACATGCTATATTGAACTCTGACCTAATAAGGTTTCCAGGAAAATTACGATCAGATTTTCAAATGTTTTGAATTTTGAGGTTTCTCTCTATATAAACAATACAGTAGATGAAGAGGGTGAAGGAACTTCAAGACATAACTGAAGAAGGACAGGTGTGGTGGCCCAGGCTTTTAATCTCAGCACATAGGCAGGCTGATCTCTGTGAGTTTGGCGCCACTCTGGTCTCTGTAGAGTTCCATGTTAGACAGGGCTAGCTACATAGCAAGATTCTATTTCAAAAACAAAACAACACAACAAAAACCACCAGCAAAACCCACTACCACCACCACTATCACCAACTGCCACCACCACCACCACCACCACCAACAACAACAACAACAAAAAACCAACCAAACAAAAAAGATGCAATTACATGAAACATCAGCCAGGCTGGGCAGTGGTGCAGACTTTTCATCCCCATATTCAGGAGGCTAAGGCAAAGGCATTTCAAGGCGTCCTAAGGCTGAGTAAGAGGAAGCTGTCTCAAAAACAACAAACAAAAACCTATGAAACTTTGTCTCAAAAAGAAAAACAACAAACAAACAAACAAAACCCTGGCCTGAGAGATGTTTCAGTGATTAACTGTATTGCTGTTCTTCCAGAGAACACAAGTTTGATTTCAGAACCCAGGTCAGGTGGTTCAGAACCAGCTGTAACTCTAGCTCCAGGGAACCCGACACCCTCTTCTGGCTTCTGAGGCTACATACCTACATGCAGATACATACATGTATACACATAATTTGATATAATAAAAATTAAATTTACTCTCTGTGGTGGTTTGAAGGAAAATGACCCCCACAGGGAGTGGCACTATCGGGAGGTGTGGCTTTGTTGGAGTGGGTGTGGCCTTGGAGGAAGTGTGTCACTGTGGAGGCAGATTTTGAGTCTTGAGTCTCATATATGTTCAATATATGCTCATATATGCTCCAGCGTTGCTCAGTGTGATACACAGACCACTTCCTGTTGCCTGCAAAATGTAAGTCCAGCCCCGGCAAGCAGCAGGACTTGGCAGCTTCAGCCGCCTGGTTCTGGCTTTAGAGTTAAGTGTAGATGTAACCAAGCGTCTTATTAAATAAATAAATAAAATATCACCATAGTTAAGGATAGAAGCAATGGGTTATAGAATTTCCCTCCGAGCCTAAGGAAAGCTGCTGAGGCCAGGCATGTGTCAGGGTGTTGGCATTCTGGCCCGACCCTTGGGGACCTGCCCTGCATCCTGACATAAATCCTCCTTTAGGAAAAAACCCCTCCCTTCTTCTTCCTCTCCCCCTTCCTCCCTTTCTTGCCTTGAGGTGTGCACGCCTCCTCTTTCCCTCTTTCTTCCCCTCTCTCTTTTCTCCTCTCTCCTTCCTTCCCCCTCTTTCTCTCTATCTCTCTATTATAATAAACTCTCCATGTGGATGCTGTGGATGCATGGTATGAATGACTTTCCACATGCTGCAGCCTACTGCCAAGTCTGCATGGTGTGTCTCCCTCACCCTTGGGGCACCTTGGCCCAACCCACCAGGGCCTCCCGTGCACTGTATCTTTACAAGGGGCTTCCCTGGATGGAGGCCTAGAGAAGCAATGAAGTTGAAGCCTGGATTGCCTTGGAGACCCTAAGATGTTGGAGATGCTAGAGCCATGGGATACCTGCTGAGGAGAGCTGCTAACAGGGAGTGGAAGCAGCCCAAGAGAAAGAGGTCTGTTGGAGTCAACAAAGCTGAAAGGAGCTGGAGATCTGAAGAGTGTTTTGAAATGAGACATGGAGATGCAGAGTCTGGGGTTTCCCAGTTTGGTTTTGGCCCAGTATTTCTTCACTCTGCTCCCTTCCCTACATTTTGGAATGGTAATGTATATCCTGTGCCATTATATGTTGGAAGTATGTGATCTGTTTTATTTTTAATTTTTATTTTATAGGGGATTACAGTTAAAAGATTGCATGAGTCTCAGAAGAGACTTTGGACTTTGAAACAAGTTTGGGACTGTTATAGATTATGGGGACTTTTGAAGTTGGACTGAATGTGTTTTTGCATTCTGATATGGCTACAAGTCTTTGAGGGCCAGGTAGTGGAATGTGGTAGTTTGAAGGAAAATGGCCCCCAAAGGGAATGGCACTATTAAGAGGTGTGGCCTTGTTGGAGGAAGTGTGTCACTGTAGAGGCAGTCTTTGTGGTCTCATATATACTCAAGGTTTGTTCATTGTGGTACACAGACCGCTTCCTGACGCCTGCAACGTGTAGGACTCTCAGCTACCTCTCCAGCACCATGTCTGCCTGCACGCTGCCATGTCCCACCATGATGATATGGACTGACCCTCTAAACTGTAAGTGAGCCACCTCCAGTTAAATGTTTTCCTTATAGGAGTTGCCGGTGGTCATGTGTCTCTTCACAGTGATAGAAACTTTAAATAAGACACCCCTCCCACCCAGAAGACCCTCAAAACTGGGTATGGTAATGTTTGTCTGTAATTCCAGTTCTGCAGAAGTGATAGCTACAGGGGCTAAAGTTTAAGGTCTGGAAAGAAAGGAAGGAAGGAAGGAAGGAAGGAAGGAAGGAAGGAAGGAAGGAAGGAAGGAAGGAAGGAAGGAAGGAAGAAAGGAAGGAAGAAAGGAAGGAAGAAAGGAAGGAAGAAAGGAAGGAAGAAAGGAAGGAAGAAAGGAAGGAAGAAAGGAAGGAAGAAAGGAAGAAATGTAAACATAGGCATGACAGTATCTTATTGAAGTCTGACTTGGTCCCTGCCTGACTCCTTTTTTTTTTCTATTTCTTCTGCCTGGGAACACAGACATGGTCTTCCTTTGCCATTTGTGGGATGGCAAAGCTGAAAGGTAGAACTTGGCCCCTCTCTACTCGTGGATGAAAATGATCGGGAAGAGGGAAGAAACAATTCTGAAGAAGCATCTAGCGCAACTGAAGAGGCAGCCACATGAGGCTCTCACAGGAATGACTGAGAGAGAGCCTGCACAGCGAATCTCAGTGCTATGTCAAGTCACTACTGTCCAGAAAGCTTTTACCCTTCTGCTCCAATCTTGCATGGTAAGGCCCTGTATCTGGTGCTGCAGACCTCCCCGAAAAGAATCACAGGATAGACCCCCGAAGCTGGGAGTGGAGCTTCCATGCTTCTCCTCAGACATCAGAGACGACAATCTGAGGAGAAAGGAACATGAGGCAGGGGAGCTGGGGCAGACCCCTCTATCGGGGGGAAGCAAGCCCTTTGTTAGCTGGCAACTAGAGGGGACCGACCATGTGGACGGCACGTGGACGCACCAATATTGAAGAAACACTCCATCACGTCACAAGCCTTCCATTCTTGAGATTACTTCCCTTTCTTCCATCACTGGCATGTGTGAGTCATGATCTCAAGCTCCCTGAGGGGATCCTGAGCGATTCTGAAATTCTGAGGCAAACCGTGAGAGGCTGGCTGTACTTGCATTCTGAGTAAGTGGCAGGTGCCAGGGAGCCAGCTGCCCGGCGGCTGGGACCAAAGAGCCTCATCAGACAATACAGAAGCTGAAAAGTTCCTGTGCCCAAGGGAGGGAGGGAGGGAGGGAGGGAGGGGAAGGGATGTATAAACAATACACTGCTTGGCAGCCGGCAGCCAGCGGCCTGAGGGGAGAACTCTGCTCTAATTCAGAATGATTTCACCTCCGCTCCTGTGTGACTCACGGCAGCTTTACTGCTCCCAGCTGAAGGACTGGAGAGAGATTGGCTGTTGGTGACTGGTCATCTCCTGTACCTGAGGCGTGGGCAGACCTCAGGTAAATGAAGAGAACGAGAACAATTTCTCTCCTACTCACTCACAGCCAAGATGGCCAGATAAACTATAAGCAAAAAATTCCCACAGATGAGGCCAAGTGCTGTGAAAAACCTTTTATCAAGGATGTGGGAACAGAGAGCGCAGTTGCTACTTCTGCCTGGGAACAAAGACATGGTCTTTAGTTTCCTGTGGCTCCTGATACGGATGCTCCATGCTGGGCACTTGGAGCCACAATGGCTGCTGTTAGGCCCTGACCAGGTAGCAGACACATTCTCAGCTTTTGTTTCCGACCACACCTTCATTCATACTATCTGGTTACTACTATGTCAGACTGTATGGTCTTAACCATGAGTGTTGAGCTCTGCTAAGTTTCCTCACAATACACTATAAAAATACCTTTTTGCCCAGTGAGTGCCTTGTACCACAACTAACCTGTATCTTATACAATGTGCCTTTCATTTCTAGAAGTAATTCATTCACATAAATGTTCCTGTGATCATTAAAGCTTCATCCTAGTCGTATTTGGAGGAGGGATCTAGCATACAAATCCAGTTTCAAACAAACAATCCTAACACTTATCTGTGACAACGTATGAGATTTCTTCCACTGTTCAAAGAAAACTGTGTATGATGAACACCGCCTCTCTCTGAGCACTCCTCTCCACCCCCACATTAGTTTTACTTTTTTCCTTTGTTAAATCTGGCTACAAGCTAGGAGTGTATGCCTGTAATCCCAGCTACCTGGGAAGGCTAAAACAGGAGAATGACAAGTTCAAGACCAGCCTGGCTGATTAAAGTGAGTTCTTATCTCAAAATAAGAAATAAAAAGGGGGTGGGAGTGATGTCACTCGGTGGTAGTTTACTTGCCTAGTATGTTCAAGTCTTGGGTTTAAGATCCACTTCTGGGGAGTGGTGGTGGGGGGGGAGACTCTCTCTTTCTAGAGTTGGATTCTTTGCAAATGAGCTCTGTGACTCAGATTTGCCTGACTATGTATTTTGGGGGAATTAAAAAAGTAAGACATTAATAAAAGCTAGTCAAAACAGGATCTTTAAAGTCGTACAACTGAAAGTACAAAAGGCACAATTTAGCCTTTGATGGTCAGATGAGACTTTCTAGTCACTGGCTTCATAATCCATAAGCATCAAAGTGATGGACACGGTGGTGACGTGATTTTGCAGGCGACATTTCTGGGTCTCAGAAATGCATTAAGCTTAATGGAATATAGCATTTTCTTTAATTCAGAATGGGAAAATATAAAGCATAGCTTTTGCATCAGAATCAGTGTAATTCTCTGAAAAAGCCCTGAGAAAAAGTATTCTAAACGTATTGCATCATTTTATAGACTAATGCGAACAGAGTTGCAACTAGTGTGTGACAGGCCAGGCCCCTTAAGCACCCAGGCTCAGCTATCTCAGCCACAAAAAGATGGACAAGGGTGTGTGGACCTGTGAGTCCTTTCCCACCCCAAATACACTACAGGAGTCTAACAAGTGTTTTAAGTGAGTAAATGTTCTGCCCAGGAAGACTGGTTTGCCAGAAAATCCACAGATGGTCAGCTACTGCTCTTTATAGACAATAAGTTTAGATAAAAATTCTGAGAATAAAAAAACAAACAACCCCCCAAAACAGAGATTAATTAACAAAACACCTAAAAAAAAAACCCTCCATATTAAAACCAAGCCAAACCTCAGTAGTGCATTTCATTTTATTTTTAAATTAATTTATTTATTTGGCACTGATGATTTTGTGTGTGTGTGTGTGTGTGTGTGTGTGTGTGTGTGTGTGTGTGCATTCCATCATGATTGTGTGAAGGTCAGAATGGGCACCAACTAGTGAGTGTCAGTTTTCTCCTTCTGTCATGAGGGTCCCAAGGGCTGAACTCAGGTCGTCAGCTTGGTGGTAAGCGCCTTCGCTTGCTGAGCCATTTTGCTGGCCCAGCAGTAAGTTTTAAGTATCTATCCATCCACTTTTAAAATCAAAGATTAGTTTCCTTTTCTTACCCATTTAGCTTGTGTTTCTGGCATAACCAGATAGTCACTGAAGGGATGCCAATCCCCAATTTTTATTACTACACAGACTTTCCTTTTTCCAAAGTGGAGAGTTATTCATAGCAGGGTGTGGTTGGCGTCCCACACTTACTCCAGCGTTCCGGAGGCCCACACAGGAGGACTGCTGAAGGTCTGAGGCCATTCTGAGCAGCACAGTGAGTGACAGACCAAGGAGGATTACATAGTTAGACACTGTCTCAAAACAAACAGCCCCTAACTAAACAACAGTAACAAACAAAACAGCAACCACTCATTACTACCCCGTTTTATGGATGGAATTGTCTTCTCTAGATGGCACGTTGAAGTCCTAACGTCTAGTAACTGTGATTGTGATAGTGTCTTTAAGGGGGTAATGATTAGGTTGGACACTAATCCAATATGACTGGTGTCCTCATAAAAAGAGGAATAAAAACAGAGAGAAGAATGCCACCTGAAGACAGATTGAAATAAATTACCACAAGCCAAGGAAGGACCACTTGAGGTGACCAGTCACTGAAAGGGCAGGAAGAGTACTCCCCTTAAAGGCTTCAGGGAGATCATGGGCCTCACATGACTCTGGCTTAGACTTCTAGACTCCAGAACTGTGAGAGAATAAACTTTTGTGTCAGTCCACGTAGTACTTTTCTTTGCAGTTCTTGGTTTATTTGTTTGTTTGTTTTTTGCTTTTGTTTTTGAGACAGGGTCTCAAAATCATGTAGCCCCGAATGACCTGGAATATGCTGTGTAGACCAGGCTGATGCTGCTGAACTAGCTGCAACCTTTCCTGCCTCTGCCTCTTGTGTGCTGGCGTTATAGGCATGCACTACAATTCTTTTTTTTTTTTTTTTTTTTTT